CAAGCGGTAAAGAGAAACAGAATATATTTTCTGAATTAAAGTCGAAACTGTTTGTTAGTATATTTAGAGTGGGAAAGTAAGGCTGAGAGCGATAAGAAAGACGTTTTCTTTGCCAAAGTATAGGATTACTATATAGAATATATTTTACAGATCGCATGGATGAATGTACTAAAAACAGGAGGAGGGATAATAAATCACCCTCATCCGATATTTTTAAAAAATACTTTATTATGCCTCCATAGAGACATAAGTTCCTGCCTTGTATTTAACATCTTATGTCCTTCAATATTGTCAGTTTTTTCTGCTTAAACAAATTGCACCTCTCAACTTTGCTGCTATTCTGTGGTTAAAACACCTTACTGTCTCGCTTAATTTTTTTAAGCCTCCAATAAGATGTAGTGTTGTTGCATTTCTGTACTTTTCATTACTTAGGCTTAGTTCATGATCATAAAACATCTTTTCCTACTCTCCCTCCGTGACACCTATATAATATTTTTCTTCTTCATGGCTGTGGATTGAGGCTCTATATATAACATTTTACTTAAACATTTCCCCTGCAGCAGGCATCCATGCTTGTCATTGCAGATGCATTCTTTAGCAATAGTAACCATATTATCGTTGTGATTCTTCAATATTTTATTATTGTGGCAAATAACTAATGTTGCTATGTTACTAGAGCAGCTGTAACTGATTCGAATTAATATTAATTGCCTGTTTCTTAGCCTACTCGAAAACATGATTTTCGTTGTATAATGCGCAAGGTATGTTTCTAGGGTAGTCATTTAAGACAAGGAAGTACTCATTATACAATAAAATAGGATATCTGAAATAGGGTAGAAAATAGGGTATTTGAAACTCACCGTAGCACATTAAAGGTCCGATAAGCAAGTCAGCTTTGATTCTTCCTTCAGTTTGGGGTAAAGAAATCTGTGAAACTGGCAGGAGACGTTTCCACGTAATGGTTCCTTTATCAACCCTTTATAAGTGATGGAAATTTATATGTTTGTATTGAGGCATTATATGAATAATAATTTTCAGAAATATTGCTTGCATAATAGATGCAGAATATTAATAATAATATATAACATAGAAATAATCGTCAAAATTATTGTCACGTTTCAATAAAATGTTTTTTTGGGTATGAAAAATAAAATGAAAAAGCAATAGTCTGATAAGTTTACTCTGAATGCATTGCATGCAATAAAACCTCTTGAAAATCTTCGATGTAATAATTAGCATTTTTATTTATTTATCGTGTCTGTTTTTATTCTTGGAAAGGAAGATAAATCAACCTAAAATGGTACTTCTATAAGTGGTTACTTCTCTTAATCATTTTAATAAAATATTTATCTTTATTTAAACAAAATTATATCCCAAGCAAAATGAACCGCTTAATTAATCCGTTCCTTTATTACTACGTTTCTTAGACTGAAGTCTTATTTGTTCAATATGTCGGGTTACCTCCTCCTAATTTTCGAAATCGCTACTAGGGGACGCTTTCCAGATTATAAATACTCGGCGATATTTTTTCTCGCTCTTTTAACTTTTCCGCTTACTCGTCAACAGGTAAATTTCTCGCGGAGAAAACGCATAAACAATACGCACACACACACACACACAAATGCACACACACACAAATGCACACACACACACACACACACACACAAACGCGCACGCATTCACTCACTACACGTACTTTCCACCAAAAAAGTTTTCAGTTTTATTTGACACACATTTCTTTGTCTTTGTCACTTGTAACCCTTATTGTTAATATATTATCAGTTGTTTTACACATAATATTGCTTCTTGTCCTTTCTTTTCGATTTATTTACGTGGACTCACATACCGAGTCTGCCATGTTTGTTGTGAGACACATGTGTTTATCTCTCAGCGAATACACCGGCCTGCAAGAAACCTTTGCTTTGATGCACTCACACGACATATTGTCCACTAAGTGATTGTCTTGCGTCAAAATTGAGAAACGCCTTTGTCGTCATATTCTTTGACGTTCTCTTGGAATCTATTTCTTTCTAATTACTGTTATATTAAACAGATAAAAGTTACTGTTAAATTCGTCTATTTGTTGGCCAATGTCTTTTTTCTTATCGTCTATGTGCTGGTCAGTGTACATTTTTTATATCGTCTATTTGTTGGTCAAGGTTCTTTTTTTCTTGACTATGTGTAGACCAGAGACCGTTTTACAGTGTTTTCTCGTTTTTATTTGAAGAAGGGACTAGTTTTAATGACAGCTGTTTGAATGGGCACATACAGGACCTGTTTTAATGCTGTCTAAAATATCTGAAGTCTTTTGAGAACTCAGTTGATTATGTGAATCTAAGCTGAACATAATTCAAGCTTATTCTTAAATCTCATGCTGAACATTTCTAATCTTACAATCATATCTTGAGAAACAAGTGTGTTCTTTGTCAAACTCAGTTTCATTCCTGTACGCCAGCATTGGATTTACAATTCAAGTTTCCTTCATTTGTATGCCAGATCCTTTCAGAGCGTAGACGTTTATAGCTCTCGACAACTTCCTTCATTTCGTTGCTGCAAGTCACTTTTGAACATCTATTATCATTTCTTGTCCCCTGCTTCTCTTGTCCTCAGTATGTCCTGTGAGTTTTACATTCTCTAGGCTATCTTTCCTCATTATGTGTCACAGAAATTTCAGCTATCTCCTTCTTATTGTAAGTATACGTTTCTTTGTATCTATTTCATTACATTATTAGAATACATTATATTCTTCTATATGTCTTGTACTTTAAGAATGTGAACGGTCATGGTTCTCCACAATTACCAGTCCTTTTAGCTCTTAGTAAGTTATTTTTTCTTTCTCTCTCTCTCTCTCTCTCTCTCTCTCTCTCTCTCTCTCTCTCTCTCTCTTAATACCTGTTCTGCCAACCATTTTCAAAATCTGGTTGTGTAGGTTACTCGCTGCTTTTGCTCTGTTCCTTTTATATCTCGTATCGCTTGAGAGTGTCAAATAATTCAAGGCTACTTTTCTTCATTATATGTCCCTAGAAAATGCAATTATATTTACTGATCCAGTATGTAAGTTTTCTTTTTATTTTCCCAAGTGTCAAAACCAGGGAGATCAGAATACAGAATGCTTCCGTTTAATATATGCAAATTATATCTTTCATGGTTGTTAGTCAAAATTATAGCTTTATTGTTTGCCCGTTGTTTTTCGACTACCCTGAATTTAAAGCGGTTTTTGTTCTAGACTTGTTGCCAATCAAGGCTAGAGTACCCAGTTCGCTCATTTTACCACATCATTCTCTTTTACGGGAAAATATAGCAGTCAATTGATAATAAAGAAAATGAGTCTGTGAGGAACCGTAGCTGGCTATGAACTCACAAACCATGGAAAAGTCAACAGGAAGCCACTCTACTATATTTCCCAAGAAGCCATGCTACTTCACTGATAACAAATAAAAGGAAACTGTGGAGAGCTGTGACCGCCTATGTCCTGACTGAAAACTATAAATTCAAAACCGTGAAAAAGTCAACAATAAAACTTTCTGCATTGATCCTAAACGGTATTTAAGAAGTATTTAGTTGACCATTGCAACTTAATAGTGTGATTCGACTCTTCCTGGAAGCCCAAAATTTGTGTCCTCGTGCCAGACTCATTATAAGATAAATCAACTCACCTTTCAGTATTGTCATTGGTATCGCAATTACATTTCACATTCTTGGCGCAGTTTTTGTTTTCTTCACATTCACACTTAACTGACGCTAAACTGATTCCTCCGGGACCGGAAAAAGGCAAATTGGCTGAAAGAAATATCAAAAATATTTACCTGAGGTTGCCCAAATTTTAATGCCGTCTTGGTCTGTGCACCCAAATTAGAATATTATTGATTGGCAAATAAGTAAATTGTTGTGTCTGTGGGTGTGCTTATTTGTGTCAAATAAAAACGAACACGCAGTTCGAGCCTTTATACATTTTATTCACTATTAGATAATAATAGAGTTAAATATGACCAGTTGACTATTGTTGATTAATAGTTCCCTGGCAGTGAAAATGGGAGAATGCTTGACCGCCATCTTGAACTCTCTTTTCTCGTCCTAAAAAGTTCTGATCAAGGGGAATAACTCGAAAACGAGTTAACTCCCTTGTTATAACGCCTGCCCTAATAATGTTTTTTAGAATAGAAGAAACTGTTGAATGAAGTTGAGACGCAGAATAGATCAAAGATGTCATATTGTTGCGTAAACAAAAAAAGATACGTTATAACGACTTAGCTAATCAGGTTAGTGAGTAACTGGGGTACATATGCAGTAGGGACAGAACTAAAAGAAAGAAAACGGGTTTTGAAGATGTTAACGATTGTTTGTTTGCATATTACAGAGCCATGGACAAAGATATGCAAAAAGAGAGGGAAGCAAAGCTTACAAACGAATCTTACGTAATCCGCCATCTTTATAGACTAAATTTCTATCCCAACTTTCTCAGATATAGAAATCTATATTAATGTCAATATTATCATTTCTTTATGCCATTTTATACTTTAATTCATACGTGGGTGTGCAGAATTATTCAAACAATGCAAAATATATTTCGGCTTTAAATAACACACAAAGATTGATAAACAGTAAATCAAATTAATCATTTGATTCATACAAGCGTTTATATTTCAAAATAGATTCATATTGGTTAACATGCTGAGATAAATAGATACTAAGATAGATAGATAGATAGATGTGAACAAACAGATGGATTACTTTTCTACGGTTCATAAACCCTTTCCAGGTAATTTAAAGCCAGAAAAATATTTCTTATATTGTTAGAATGTTGCTTTTGAGATATTAATGTTTTTTTTTATACAAGTTTTACTAATTAACCCATAGCTGATGGAGAAAAAATAGATTCATACTTTTCCTAAGAGTATTTGCGTGTAAGTGATATAAAGAACCCAACTAAAATTTGAACTCGACTCTCCGATTAACAATTCCAAGCCATTATCAATTACACCACCCGCACATCCAAATTAACAACACCTGATATTCCCCATGCGATCACCCATCTAGGTACTGACCAGGCTCGACTTTGCTTAACTTCGGTGGTCACACTGGAAGTGGTGTTCAGACACAATATGGCCGTAAGCCAAAGTTAAATAGATAGATAGAGACAGACAGACATTTTAGCTGCCGACTCGATTAAGTTGTATGATCATCGCTGTCAAATTTGATTAATGTTGTTGGTTCTCCTGAGAACAACATTGGCCCTTGAAGACTGCAAGTTACTTGCAATGATTATTACAGAGATGTGGCACTATACTATAGTAGAAATGACCTAATATGCAAGGTGTCAGACAACCTGCAGAAACCGCTCTAGTCTCACCAGCCACATTAAAATCTAAAAGCAGGCTGAACAGACTTTACAAAACAGGCCAGGCCCTGTACAAAACAACCTACATATATAAAATATGGCGAGTTCTTTATTATTAAGTATAACCATCATTGGAAACAATTCAGAATCAAATTCATCTGTGACTAGATGATAATGATGAAAGCATACCGAATAATATTTGCGCATGAAACGTTTTAAAGTGAGAAGAATCCTTTTACATTGCCAGCACCTCTCACTGAACATCAATGGCAAGAACCCAAAAAGAAGATCTAATCAACATCATTGATGTTTCCTTCTCTATAATCATTAGAAGATCATTCATTTCCAATGGTGTTCTAGATAGCCGTCAAACCCGCAAGAGACAAATTTATTCTATCATCAGCCAATGTTTGCTTAGGTATCTGTCTATATTTCTATGAGGTATTATGTACACTGTTTACATTATTCGGACTATTGTTCACATCTTTGTCGCCATATTTATTACAACGTTTCAGACGTTGTATGCTCCGGCCTTCTTCAGTTGGTTGGAATGTCAAACTGAACCCTTTATTTCGCTCACTGGGGTGAACCGTTCTAGTTCCACGTGCCATGTTTAATGGATGTCAGTTGTCAGTTATCTCCTGTTAATTCCCCTCTCCAAGTTCTCCACTGCCTTAACCGGGTATTGAACTCACACTCTTTTGGGTCCAGTCACTGGATCTCATTAACGCCTTTATCCACTGTGCCATGTGTTTCGGTTAAGGCAGTGGAGAACTTGGAGAGGGGAATTAACAGGGGATAACTGACATCCATTAAACATGGCAGGTGGAACTAAAACAGTCTAACTCAGTGAGTGAAATAAAGGGTTCAGTTCGACATTAAACCGCCTGAAGAAGGCCGGAGCATACAACGGCCGAAACGTTGTAATAAATATGGCGACAAAGATGAGAACAATAGACCGAATAATGTAAATAGCGTTTGCTTAGGTCTTTGTTTCGATTATCTATTTATCTTGATCGATTTGGTTAAGGTGGCTAAACGGGTGAAAGTTCTAACAATTTAATCCATATCTGAAGGGAGGAGATAAATTCATGCCCTTTCCAATGCTATTTGCGCATAAGTGAATTTAACGAACCAGGCTAGGATTCGAACTCGGCTCCTCGGTTTCTTATCCCGAGCATAAGATGATAAACAGGCGTACAAAAATACATTTTAAAGGGAATTAATTTATTTAGGATACGGTATAGACTAGAATTTATCGAATATCTGTCGCAATTGAAGGAAATTCCATTATCTAAGTCCCCCCGATCCTTCAAAGCGTCTTCCACAATGACTTGCGAGAATTCTGTTTAGCATTATCATGTCAGAGAATAACCGGTCAATACACACTGTAGAAAAACAACCGATAATCAAGAAAATAGATGGAGATATAAAATTGGTCAACACGATTTTTGGTGCAAAAAAAACAGAACATTTTTTAGCTAATTTCATGGAGATGATTGCAAAAAGGCATTAGTTTTTCATGGTTAGCTATCGTTTTTGCTGTACTGAAATTGCACATTTTGGAAAAAAAAAAAGATCAATTTACGATCTTGGCTGATCGCAAAATTTAGTTAATAAAGTTCGTAGAAACACATCAATTTTCAGGTAGGCCGAGCAATGTATGTCAGTCACCTGAAATAAACTATTTTTATATGAAAAAATATTTTCAGTCAAGTTTACAAAAAGATGCACTGAGGTTTTCCAATTTATCTTTAAAATTCAAATTAACTGATAAACTTTATCAGTCATACACTTTAGCAAAGTTGATAATTAAGGTGACATCAAAAAAATGAAACCCTAAAATCTTGTTTGATATTCACAAATTTATCCCATTTCTTTTATCCTTTAACTGCTGAAGAAAACAAAGCACATTGAGAGCATTTTATTTTCACAGTTGGAAAGAAATTCCAATTAAAGGCATCCCAGTTGAATGCACCTATTCCATTGTACATGATACTGACGTAGCATCAAAAGGGACTTAAATAATATGGAATATGACTGACAATCAAGAAAGAGAAAATTTTTAACATAGTTCTTATGTTCACGAAGGTTTTATCTGTGCTGCTAGTTTATTAAATGATTTGATGAAAATAATTGTTGGTCTTGGTATATTCAATCGTGTTATTTTTAAAGACTCAGGCTCTGATTGTTATTTCAAAACTAGTATTTCTCAATAAACAGACCGCTATTTGTTGATTTAAATACGAATTGAGAGGTTTTATTTTGAGAAATATTGTCATTGGTCAATGTCATATATATAGAAAACAAATGAGGCATTTCTGTACAGTAAAAACGGTAGCTACCCCCAAAAAAGTAAAGTCATTTTCAGATTCAGCGTTCTCAAATTAGCTAAAAAAGATGTTTGGTGTCTCGACACCATTTGGTGATCAGTGTAATCCGTGAACTTCTGATGCATAAGCAACGAAGAAAAGTGCAATTCAGCCTTTTCTTTCTGGTTGGTGTCATATTTTTCACAAGCGATTACGATTAGAGATTTTCGATCAACATATCGCGACATCAATTTGATTTATTGCAGGCTGTTGTTAAGAATTGTTGAGAAAACAGCTGACAAAATTTAAGAGACGTTTAGCAAACATGGAACTTCGTGGCCGTAATAGGAGAATCAACCTTCACTCCTTGACAATGTTTATCGTTTCAAAAAGCGATGATTAAAATTGTAATAAAACCTAAACATATGATGAAAGTGAATTTATACATTTATTTATGTTCTTGAGAATTTAAAAGAAATATACTAAGGAATATATATTTAGTAGATTGTTTATTTACAAGAATTATTTTATATTTACAACAAAACTAATACAATTGGGAATAATACTAAATCAATACAATATTTTTAATTTACCAATTTATAAAGAAATTAATGTTTATACAAACATTTACCAAATTTACATTGTTCGGGCTTTTGTCCTCATCTTCGTTATCATATTCACAACGTTTCAGCCACTGTACGCTCCGGCCTTCTTCAGGGGATTGGAATTCTGAACCCTTTCTCTCGGCCATTGCGGGAGATTGTTCTTGTTCCACGTGCCATACCTCTTCCGAATATCTCAGTTTCAGTTATTTCCCTTAGTAACTCTACACTCAAAGTTTTTCTTCGCTTCTGCTGTGGCCAGGTCACTATTTTGGGTCAAGTCATTGGATTACTCCAGTGCTTTTATGACAACAAAGATGATGACAACAGTCAGTACCAATGTAAATGATATAAATAGTTATAATACCTCATGTCAGAAATATAGACAGATCTTTGCTAAATTATCAAAATATTGGAAGATCCTGTTGCGCCTTATTGGTCTTACGTTTCCCACTGACCTGAGGTGGAGCAACTGCATTGAATAAATAGTTGAATCTACCGTAAAGAAAGTTGGTTTTCTGTGTCGCGTCAGAAGGTTTTTCTCGACCATGAACTTCATATCTACAAATCTACCATTCATCCATGCATGGAATACTATTGCCATATATGGTCTGCTACCCCCGCTGTTCATCTCGAGGTTCTCAACAAAATGCAAAGACGGATATGCAATGTGATCGGTCCTGACATTGGCTCTCGACTCCAGTCATTTTCTTATCGACATAACGTGGCTTCCCTCTCTCTTTTCTATAAATAGCCTTTTTCTATAAATTTTCATGGCATCTCTTCTGACGAGCTATTTTCACTGGTGCCCCGAATGCATGAATTTAAACGTGCTACTAGGTTGGCATCTCGGTCCCTTTTACTGTCGACAGAGTTAAATGTAACCACCTCTTTTACTGTAACAGTTTCTCTCGAACTTCCCGACAGTTGAACTCCCTTCCTCTTACTTGCTTCCCTGATAACTATAAAATTTAAATGTAATGTCAATCGACATCTTTTGTTGCCTTAATCCCCGTTCTACTTTTTATCATTTCCACAACCCCTCCTATATACCCAGTCTTTTCTCTTGCTTACACTCTCTGTATCTCCTTGCGAACTAGTGGCACTGCTTGGAGTGAAATACTTAAAAAATGTGAAAAACTATGAGGAAATCTTTTACCATTTCATAAAGTTCTAATCAATTGACAATTAGCTGATGTTTTTCGAACTATTTCAATAAATAATATAAATAGTGTAGACAGTCAATCTAATAAATAAATAGTGTTTATTATTTTTGTTTCTTAGTTCTCAAGAACAAAGAAAATGTATAAATTAACTTTTATATGTTTAGGTTTTATTCAAATTCTTATCATTGCTTTTTAAAACAAGAAATATTGCCGAACAGTGAAGGCAGTTAAAAAAGCGGTGTCATGGGAAAAAAATTTCTTTTGACTCTGTCTTATTCCGTCACGAAGCTCTATGTATCCTAGAATATTTTTTCTATTTTTTTCTTCCCTGAAATTGTTTCGAATCGTAATTCAAAACAATGTTGATTGTGACTACAGACGTTTCCTTATCACTCCATGTCAACTGCAAGGAGATATCGTTTCTAAAAAAATGTAACACGGCAACGTTTATTGGGAGTTGTGACCACTAAATTATACCAAGTCATTTGAATTACAACAGGACTATATTTTGATCAGTGATTCTAGTGTTCGGTTAAAGACGTTTAGAGAAGGAAGACAGTCTGTCTGTAACGTGTACACAGGAGCGTTGTCAGGCATCTCAAACAGGAATATTTAAAATAAAAAGGCCATGCAAAGGTTGAAATTTACTACTATAACGTAAAGAACATTTATGAATGAGAATTAAGTCCACCGC